CGGTCAGATCGGCCAAACATTTCAAATCACATGATTGGTTGTAGTTGATCGGCGCAGCATGGATCACGCCTTCAACGGGTCATTCGGTAAGTGGACTTTCGGTGAACTGGACATTCGGTAATGTGGATCTTTAGTGAACTGGACATTCGGTAATGTGGACCTTCGGTGAACGGGTCATTCGGTAAGATGGACTTTCGGTGAACGGGTCATTCGGTAAGGTGGACCTTCGGGCAAACGTCCATTCGGCCAATTGGACTCGGCCAGATGGGTTTCGGTCAATTGGGTTTTGGTCAAAAGTCCGGATACGCCCCGGAACTAATAGAACACGATCGAAAAATTAGATTACTAATTTATCTCCGTAACAATACTCAACTTTTCTTTTAAGCCTTTTTGCTCACAATATTGCATTAAATATTCTACATGTTCAAAGGATCCAAAGTACTGGCCCTTTTAAGTATCAAATTACTATCATTTACTTATTCTTCGTCTGAAAAAGTATCCTTTGTATCATTTGCATTATTATAAAATTCAACAGGTTCCGAAGGTGAAAATTCGCGAGTATCCATTATTAAATTAAAGAGAGTCGGGTAAAATAAAAATGAAATAAAAATGAAAGGGGAAGAGCAAAGGTTATGGGAAAAGGAAAAGAGGATAGAGCGTGAGAAAAAAATAAATAATGAAAGTCTATTATATCATATCACTACCGGTGAACGAAATTCACTACCCCGGTGAATTTTTCATAACCGTTGACGTATAGCAGGTGATCAAAATTATATACAATAACACGGGGTTAAATATTTATATGTTAAAATAAAACCTGGGTCCACGATCAGATTTTAAAATTTAATGTAACGTGAACCCAAAATCCAAATTTGCTATCTTAATCAATACATTGCGTGATGATGATGATGTTACGATGGTAAAATGTTATAAGCACTTCATTTAATGTAAAGACGTTCTCGGTAAAATTTTTCGTTATCATTTTTAAAAGGTTAATTTATTGATTGAAATGGTTGTTGTCTATAATGAGTTTAAATCTTTTTTAAAAAGACTAAAAAAATTTAAAAAAGTATAATTAAGCATGAATACTTTATTAAAATTACTATATAAGTATAAAGGTTCTAATCATTAAATATTGACTAGTTAAAAAGTCAAAAATTATTATTTTTTTTTAAAAAAAAATAATTATCAAAAAAATGATAGAATTAAGTAAATATAATTTTTATTACGATTGAGAAATTTAAGAAACTGATGATTTAACAAGAAATTAAATTGCATGAACTTGTAATTTAAATTGGAATCGATTGATTAATGGAAGCGAAGAATCAATTTTTTAAGACCATTATTTTTTGTCATAAAAGTAAACAGTCTTTTGCTTTTTTCAATCGTCCTAGATAAAGATTTCGACAAGCTGCGTATGATTCTGCTGCGCTTTGTTTAATTCCGAAAAGTATCGACACATATCCTTGCAATATTATTTCACGCTTATTTTCTTCTCAAATTCTTAAAAATGGCTCATATGAAGAATACAATTTAGAGGATATGAAGTAAATCGCCATATTGCCGTTAATTTAATACGTTCACCGTTTACGATGAACCCTTTAAGAAATACTTCTCTTTTCACAGTAAATAGTGCTCAGAATCAAGTTCAAGGTCGGATCATGCCTTATTCAATTAAATACCCGAGATTGTAAAGACATCATAAAATAAATGATAAATGTTATATAATAAATATGTGGATATTTTTATTTTTAGTTGATTGCATTCGGTCAAGTTCGTGCTTATATTAAACCCGACTTGTTTCGACCATTTCACGTAGTAATCCAGGGAATTGTTATAAAATCGTTACATTTTGGTGAAATTATTTCGGAGGTAAATAAGCATCCAATTGATTATGTTACAAAATGATTTAAATTTGCGTCGTAGTAAGATTTCTCACAAGAAATTTATTATGTTATTAAGATAAGAAAATATAAAACGTTCGAGGAGTAGTGTATTAAAGAAATGTTAGTATCATTATTATATTTTATATATGACATGATTTCTAATAGACTAAGATCTACTGACTTTTGTTTTTATGTTATGTAATAATTCGAGCTTATTTTTTAATTTGTAATCTCTGACTTCTTCAATTAGATGGCTCAGTTAAGACCTTCTTTTCGTTAACTTTACAAAAATAAAAATTCGGTATTCTTGGTTTGAATATATTCTAAAATTATTTCTCATCTTCAATGTGGCAACGCACGAAGACTTGATGCTTCAAGTTTCTGTTTTACCATTTAATAAAGATGTTTCTTCGTTTATTTGGAATTCTTAACACTTTATGAAGATAATTTAATAGCGGTTCACAATCAATGTGATATACTGTATACTATGGAACCTTTGAGAAATTAGGCTTGTCATTCTTTTCTACATCTCGGGATATGTGTGGAGCTCATATATAAATTAAGGGTGTGTTAGCATTGAATTTATATAATATAATACAACATATCAGCTGATAGGCAACTTGTACTTTCTATGATCTTACTTTATGCATTTTTAATTTTGTATTTATTAATTTTTCTCTTAAAACAGCAAAATATATATTAAAAATTTCTCTAACATAAATCGATATTTTGGATAAGAATCAAATTGTGGCTTATTTATTTTTTTATCAGAATTTTTTAGTAAATTGTTTTTAATAATATTTATTATTTCCGATATTATGAGAATACTTCTTATTGTTATTAAAGCTTTAACCAAGTCTTTAACGTAAATGTTAATTTCATATCTTTATGAATTTTTTTAAATTTGCGCTTCCTGAAATAAACTTCATACTCTATGTCTTGCATGTATTTAGCAGACTATACAAAATATATAAACTTTTACAATTAGATTTTCATAGTTTTAAAAGCTTTATTATCAATTTAAAGATTTCATATATTAAATTTCATATATTTAACGTTAGCATTTATTATTTTTTTTAACTAAAATGTTAATATTGTGGTTTTACTTAGAGCTTAAATTTATTTTTAATTTACATTAAACTTATTAAGCTTGAAGTTTACTTGGAAATTCAAGCAAAAAAGGATTAAGCCTTTCAAATACATTTTATAAATAAAAATAAATCTAAAAAATAAGTCGTTGATTAAAATTTTATGAAACCAATATTTATTTCATATATAAATAAAATATATTCGTTATCATATATAAATATATAATGTATACAAATATAATAAAATAACATAAGATGATACAGCTAATGTTTATATAGAAGAAATTTTAAGGAACTAAACTATAATTAATAAAATACAGATCAATTAACATATATTACTATATAAATCTACATAAAGATTAAAATTAAATAACTTACGACATAAATCGGAATATGATTTTGACTGAATATTATCGAGATCTAATTCATCAGATTGCATTTCTGAAATCGAATTGAAACTTTCTGTAGGTTTTTTATATTTGTATACCGTATATAACAATATAAACTTAAATAATAATGTATTAATCTAAAACACATACCTTCAGCTGAGATATTATTATCATTAACATTTATCTCCGCTTTATTAGGACATTTGTCAAAATATTTTTGAAAAAGTTCTTCAAAAGGTAAACCTAACAAACCCATAGTTTTAGATACTTCTAATACTTCATAAATAGTCGGTTCTTTCTCAGGATTTGAATCTAAACATGTTTGATAAAGATTTTCAATAATAAATTTTTTAATATTTTCTAATATTATATTAATAGTCGGTCGTTTTCCAGGTTCTGAATCCCAGCATTGTTTATAAAGTTTTTCATAATCTTCAGGAGTATTATTTATGGTAGCTTCACGAGCTCCTTTAGCAATAGCAATAGAAAGTACTACTGGATCATCAATATCATCTTTAAACAGAGGAATTCCACTAGAAATTTCCCACATCAATACACCAAAACTATAAATATCCGAAGCTTTAATATACTGAAACGCTACATCCGATAGTTTTTTTGGATCTATATATGGAATTCTACCAAAGTTTACGTTATGAAAACTAGTATCATTATTCATATTTTTTGATATACCAAAATCCGTAATTTTAGCATTACCATCATGAATAACGATATTCTTGGAATGCTATATTCAAATTAATAAATAATTTATCAAATTGTTGTTATAAATAAATAAGTAAAGTCTAATACTTACAAGATCCCTATGCAGGATATTTTCATTATGCAAATAATTTAATCCTTCAGAGATTTGAAATGCTAACATTTTCTTATTAATCCAAGCTAAACTTTTGAAATTCTTTTCAAGATAATTTTGAAGATCGCCATCATTAGCATATTGCATTATAAGAAGATAGTCATTTGTAATATTATCTATAAAAATGAAATTTTATTAATTAAAAAACTTTTTATTAAATAATAAATTTATTATGTAATCACCTTTACTGATACCCAAACAACGAACAATTCTTTCACTATAATCAAGATGTAAATGGATTTTTAATTCATGTATAAAAGCATCTAATATACTACCTTTAATAGAAGCTATGTTTGTTAATCTTTTATAAACGATACATTTTCCTATTTTAATCCAATTTGCTTTTGTAATACATCCAAATCCTCCAAAGCTTAAGGATATAGAATTTTCTAATTGGTCAAAGGGTATAAATTTCACTTTTTCATTATCTAAAGCATCTTTTATCCATTTAATCGCATTATCTTTTTGATTATTTATTTGAACATTATCAAATTTTGTATCGCTTAATTGATCAAGATTATTAACAATTTGCTTTATATGAGGACGTTCTTTTGGTTCGTACTTCCAACATTCTATAAAAATGGATAATTAAATTACTGTTATAAACAAAAAGACCGTTATCAAATATTTATTAAGATTATTTACTTGTGTATAAACTACTATATTCAATAGGTGTATCAGGAATAATTTTTTCTCTTCTTCCTTGTATAATATCATCTTCATTATAAAATGGTCGATATCCACTTGAAATTTGCCACATCAAAACTCCAATACTATAAACATCAGATTTTTTATTTAATTATAATTTTGATCATTTAAACCTTTTGGGTCTATATAAGCTCCAAGCATTTTTGATTCTCTGTTAATTTTTTTCGAAAGACCAAGATTTGATAATTTAATATTTTTTTGATGTATAAATATATTGAACGCATTCTATAATTTTATAAAAAATGATTAATTAAATAACAAATAAAATTAGATAAATAAAAAATTAAAGTATTACCAGATTACAATAAATAATATCATTTTTATGCAAGTATAACACAGCGCTTGCAAGTTGCAATGCTAATTTATACTTTTCCATCCAATCAAGTTGATCAAAATATTTATCTAAATAGTAATTTAATGAATTGCTATCAGCATATTCCAATACATAAGTATATTTACTATCTTCACCTTATTAAAAAATATTTGTATTAATTAGAGAATAAAAACAAAATAATTATTTTTAATTTAAATTATTTTTTTTTACCAATTTTTTTACTTGTAATTCCATAAAATTGTATTATATTTGGATGATTTTTTATTTTTTGTTGTAATTTTAACTAAATTGATATAAATTAATTTTTAAATAAATATTTCAATACAAAATTTTTTATAATTAATTAAATATTATACCTCTTTTATAATTTCTTCAATCATTTTATTATTGAAATAATTAAATGATTTTAAAATAACAAAAAAACTATCTGCATATTTCCAATTAGCACAATATACTTTTGTAAATGTACCACCTATTTTTTGTATATTCTTAAATTCTGAATAGTTATAATTATAAACATATTTTTCTTGATTTTCAATCTCATTTAAATTATTTTGATTTAAAGTTTCATTAATTTCATTTAAATCTTTATTTATAATTTCATCTATATTTGGATTTAAAATTTCATTTAATTTTACTGTATCAATTAAAGGATTTAAATGAAATTTTAAAGTAAGTTCATTATTAATTATTTTAGATACAGATAAATTAATGCTTGATTTCCATTTAATAATTTTATCTGCTTTATAAAAATCTAAAATATCATCCTTTAATTCTTTTTTAAAATCTTCTTCAATGATATTTTCTTTCCAATTTTCAATAATCCTTTTAATTTCTGATGCAGTTGGTCTTTTTAATGGATTCATATCCCAACATTTTTTCATTAAATTATTATAACATTGTGGAATGTTTTTAATGATTTTAGGACGTTTACCTTTGCAAATATTTAAACTAAGTTGAAAATCATGGGCTTCATTATCAAATGGAGGAATTCCATATTTAAATTCCCATATAATTATAGAAAAACTATATATATCACTAGCTAAAGTATAAGGTTGACCTCTTAAAACTTCAGGTGCTACAAATGG